TTTAACTCATTTATTCATTTTTTATTTTGGAATTGATTAGAATTTTAACTACATGTTTTTTAGTTGCATTAGCTAGCTGACCCTTTTATATTGGCTAGCTCAGCTGGCTAAGCCAGCTTAGCCATAGCTGCCTTAACCAGCTTACAACACTAAGTACAACTAATATTGCTACCAGTATTAATAGTAATACTGATAGTGATATCAGCAGTACTACTGGTATTACTATTAGTATTATTAATAGTACTAATACTGCAAAATATTTAACTGCTCAACCATCAACTTTTCAAAATTTTTTTAAAGTTAAACAAAAGGAAAAAAAAAGGACTGAGATAAAGAATAGAGATGATGTAGATAAAGAGAAAGATGGTGATAATGAATATAAAGAAGACAAAAGTAAAGAGAAGTTTGATAATGATAGTATCAAAGTAGATAAAAAGAATAATGATAACAAAGAAGATAAAGAGGATGATGTTGATGATAATCATTATAAAGAAGATAATGAAGAAAAAGAAGAAGATAATAAAAAAGATAATGACAAAAATAAAGAAGGAGGAAATAAGAATGAAAATAAAGAAGAAAATGAAAAAGAAAACAAAAGTAAAAAGGAAGAAAAAGAAGAAAATAATAATGCAAATAGTAAAATATTATTTTTTTTTTGGTGTTCAGGTGGGATCTTGCCTATGACTTTATTTATTGTTAATACTTTCATTACATATATTACTACATTTTCATATTTACATATATCAAGTACACCAAGCTCAGACCTGGATCTTGTTGGTTACCTATGCTCTGGCCGAAACCATCACTTGCATGATAGGTGTCTCTATCCACTATCTAACCACTGATCCATTATCTGCGATCCAAACCTACCGGAGCAGTACGTCCTTATGGATAGCACTTACCTGATATTTTTTCACCCTTCACTAGTTCTATTTTGGTATACTTCTCTATGACGTCATTCCCCACATTTCTCATATCACTTATATCTAAGCTCACAAATTTGGTAGTCCCTACTGGGATATGGCCTCGTAGCCTCAAGAGCTACTTCCAATTTTGGTTATCTTCAGCTAGTCTGCCCAGATAGTATCACGAAGAGGAACTTATACTGGCCCAGATTAAGCTTCATCATTAACGCCTAGTTTAGTTAGTATGCTGCTGATTCCTGTTATCTTATACAGTAGGTAGGTATTCCCGTGTGTTGGTGCAGGCTTACCGTATTGCATTATAGGTTACCTCATAACTTCCAGATTGGGGTTTTGTATTACTTCTTTTCCATAGTTTGAGCTATGGTGTTTCGGTGTCCTGACATTTTAGGTTATAAAGCTCTAGGGTTTAGACCTAGTTGCGGCTTGTGGTCTGTAATACTTCCAATTTCAGTATTTGGTATTCCTTATCAATTTCTGATATACAAGCCCAATTTGTACAATTGTATTACCAGCCTGGTGAATCCAGCCATTTCGAGTTTTTACTACGTACCCCAAGTTTCAGCCTTTTTGCTCTGTCTTCACAGATTTCTTTCTTAATAGGCCAAGTAGCTTGGGACCAGAGGTGCTTTTGAACTCTGAATGGACTAATCCTTTACCACAAGTCATCCTCATATTCACCACTTTTCTCACTACTCCAGTTTTGTTACCGTCATGTCACTCTTCTAATCAAATACTCCAACCACTAAGGATGTTGGTGCTGCCCGGTCACCCCTAATCAAAGACTAACATGCGCAACTTTCGTATAACAAAACTTTCCATGACCCATTATACATAGTACCGTAAATTGCTGTATACAAGATCTGGGTCTGTTACATTCCACCCATTTTAAAACTTACAATAGACCTGTAGGTCTATTGTACGGGTATGGGTCTGATGATCGGGGGGATTTTTATGTGGGGGGTCTGATAATCGAGAATTTTATATGGGGTATAGTACTAAGTAGTACATGCATTATGTGTTATAAAAGGTTTGTTTGAGGTGAATTGTGAGTTTTTCTTTTATTACAGTATTAGCGTCACTCAAACTATGTTATATATATGGAGTGGCAAAGAATGAGAACGAATTCGACGTTATTCAAGGTGACAAATCGTACAGCGAATGCTAATATACAAATAAGTTCACTTTCCAACCATCACAACTTCGATAATACTTACAAACATCACGCCTTTCGAACAACCAAGTATTTGCACATAATGATAAGAGTAAAAAGCTATCGGTACTCTTGGATGAAACCAAATCTATTTTAGAATGGTTCAGAGAAATAAATACTGGAAGATATACAATATCCAGTTCAAGGTCAAACTTTATCCAACCAACGACAATTTATATAATGATTTATCTTCAATGACATAAGGGATTCACTTATTATCAAAAATCTGCAGAGATGGAGAACGCTGTTGCAATGTGTAATATTAGATATTGTTATGAAAATGGATATGGAGTTGAAAAAAATGAACAAACGGCCTTTGAATATTATTTAAAAGTGCTGAATATGGACATTGTTGTGGAATGCATAAAATTCATATTATGAAACAATTTGATAAAAGCTCTATATCTAAATTATTGACTAGTTCAGAGTATCAAGGGAATTAAAAATCTTGAATCTCATGTAGCTGATACTAATTCGACTCAGTGGTCTAACCAGTTTAGATGCAAAGTATGAAAACTCCCAATAATAGAGAAGTTAATAGAGACCACAAGTTCGATTACAAAAGAACAATTTTTTTTTTTTTTTTTTTTTTTAAAAAAAAAAAAAAATCAAAAGAACTTGATGTTAAGACTAGATAAAAATGAATCACTAAAATTTGTGACATTATAGAGAATCTCTTGCAGGCCTAGCGAATTATTAAAAATTAACCAAATGACAAATATATTTAAGTTATTGTAAAATAGCCTATCAAAAATTAAAGAGCACTTTACAGAATTGAATAATAACAGTTATTTTCTTAATTTACCAATCTAAAAATCCAAAAAATAACTTTACATGTTGAGCAACAATTTGTTCCCATGCTTAAGTAATTTGTACAAGACATGGTCATAGCGATAGGGGCATACAAATATTACAGACTATGGTATGATTGACTTATTAGCATAATTAACATGTGTAAAATCTATTTCATCGTTTTCACATATATATATACAGTATTAACATAGTTCAAAAAATTCTCACGCTTTACATTTCTATTGTGTTTCAAGTTTTTAGCGAAAAGGTAATGGATAAGAGTTTATTGTAATTAGTGTGAAGGTATTAACGTGAGATAATATTAAAGAAAATGGGACGTAAAAGAACAAGTTTAAAACAAGCAAAGATTACTAAAAAAAAAAGAGAAGTTGGAACGCTCGTGAAAAATTGGCAATTGTTACGTACCTTGAAAAAAATCCAACAGCCAGCAAACGAAATACTGCAGAAAGGTTTAACATAACCCTGAAACAATTGCGAGAATAGATAAAAAAAAAAAAGAATTAAAAAATGCACCACCCTATATTAGACGGTTAAATATTGGTGGGTGCGCTAAGTATCCGCTTTTAGAAGCTGATCTTAAAACCTGGGTTAAATCTTTACGTTCACGACACAAGATTGTATCTCGCTATATGGTTAGAACTAAACTAATCAACTCGCAAAGCTACCGCGTTTTTTATCGCTTTATCCAACGATTACTGAATGCAAGTGGAGTAACAAGTGGGTTGATGGTTTTATATGTCGTAATAACTTTAGCAACTGGTGCCGTACTATAGTAGCACAAAGATTACCAGAAGACTTAGAAGTTAAAAGAGATGAATTTTTGAGTAATGTGTTATATCATCGTATGAGCTACAATTATCCTCTTTCACTTATCGGTAATATGGATGAAACTTCATTAGCATTTGATATGCCGAGCAACTATACAATTGAAGAAACCGATGCTGCTACTGTCGGGATCCGTACAACTGGTTATGAAAAATCTAACTTTACTGTTGTTTTAAGTTGTTTAGCTAACAGAACCAAACTACCTCCAATGATACTTTTTAAATTAGTAAATATACCACAGCAAGTATTTCCACCAGGCATTATTGTACGAACCAATCCAAGTGGATATATGAATGCCGATGAAATGATTTTTTAGATTGAAAATATATGGAATCGTCGAGCTCCTTTGTCTATCAATCCTCGTTCATTACTAGTTTTGGATGCATTTAGTGGCCATCTTACAGACTCAGTTAAAAGTCGATTTAATAAAAAAAATACTAACATGCCGGTCATTCCAGAAGGACTTACCAAGAAATTACAGCTATTAGATGTATATATTAATAAGTCCTTTAAAGACAAGGTAAACAGATAATTTTTTTTTTAAAAAAAAATATAAACAGTTAACTTTTTCTATAACAAACTGACAGTTCTAAAAGAAAAGAAAGTTTATTATAAAAATTATTGTTTTCTAAGAGCCTATAACGTTTTTTTTTACTAAATTTTATGAAATTTCAACATTTTAAGTTCGTTATACCTGGGTTGATTGTATGTATATATACTCGTGCAGCAAAATTGTTCTTGACTTTATTTTTTAGAAAAAATTATCACAATAGTTATATTATAATGCGCAGTATATAAGCGATTATTAATTAGTAGATTACGTAATAGGATTCTATATAAACTCAATTTTACTTTATTAGCGTTATATGCATTTTTTCTTTTTTACACCTCCACCGGCTGCTCAAAACATCTTTACAGACATAAAATTTAACAAGCTTCCACCGATTTATCCTGGCGCTCGATTTATTGTTTATTGCATTTTAGAAAAAGGTGTTGAAGCTTGTAAAAAAATTATATTGAGTGCAAATTCTTATAATGGCTTTCTATTCCGTAATTTTTTTTTTTTATTTTTTTTTATTTTTTTATTTTTGTTTTATTTATTTTATTTTTTATTTTTATCTTTTTTTATTTTTTATTTTTTATTTTTTTTGAATTCGCACAACTATTATTTCGTATAAATTTACTTATTTAATTTATTTAAGTATCGCAAATTCTATCATGATTGGATGGGAGAAGAAATCAAAAAACTTACTCATACAGGTTATATCCAACGGCCTGCTTATAATTTGGTGGCCGAATAGGTATTAAGAGCATGGAACCAAGTTGATCCCGCACTTATCAAATGTTCATTCAAGTGTTGTGGCATCTTCACTGCCCAAAATGGTACCGAAGAAGATTTAATGTTCAATTACAATTGGGTTAATAACCCAGAGGCTCAAAATAAAAATGGTGAATATGTGTATATTGATGAGGATAATGCAAGTAACAGTGAAAGTATTGTTGACTTAATCCAAAACGACTATGGTGGTGGGAATAATGATAACAACTATAATATTGAAGATGACAGCGATGAAAGTGACAGCGATGAAGATGACGGCGATGAAGACGACGGCGATAAAGACAATGACGACGAAACTGATAGTGATGAAAATGATCATAGTGATAATCTAGATGAAAATGAAAATGAAAATAATCAGAATAGCATTAGAAATAACCAAGAAGCTTGTGATGAAGACACATATTATGATGAATGGGTAGTTGAGTACGTTAATTTGTGGGACTAAAAAACTTTCCAGCATATAATTTTAGAGATATTATCTCAATTATAGCAAAACAAAGAAATATTGTATCGACCTAATACATAAATAATCGAATTAAGCATTCATTGGTTGTTGGTAATTTACTTCACGATGGGCAGATATGAAAAGTCTCTTGAAGATCTAACAATTTATTAGTCATACTATAAATTTGCCACATGATAGGCATATACAGTATGTAGATTCAATTTAAATAAAGCATTGGAAATTGCTGAACAATCAAGAAGGCATTAACGAAATTTTATGTTCTATTATTATGAGATGCAAAGAAACTTATAGTATAATGCACAAATATGAGTGGTCACTTGCAGATTTAGATAGTTCATTAAAATTTGAACCGAAATGTATTAGCATCGAGAGTGTTGTTATTCGGGCAACATTCAAACAAAATTTAACACTGAATAATGCAAAATTTTATTACAGTAACCTAATTTAACAACGAATTAAAACTCTGAAATTGAATTTCACAAATATGTATATTTTTGGAGGGATAAGTTTATAAGCTAATTGCCAGGTTGAAATTGATGAGTATAAAGTATTTATTTATTAGCTGATACTAAATGTGAATAAAAAAAGTAAAATTTGATATTGTTAGAACTTTTTAATTTTTAATAATTATGTTTTATTTGATTAAATGCTATAAACTTATTTAAAAGTTATGCGGTGCATATAATCGTACTGGTCCTGCACAGCATTACATGTTGCGCAGCTATCCTAATTATATAATACTTTACCATGAAGATTTTTTTTGTTTTTGTAAATAGGATATATAATATATTCTAGATATTATACCTGGGTCTTTTAATATTTATTTCAATTTATATACCCGAGTCTTTTAATATTTATAATCTATTTATAGACCCAGGTCTTTTATATTTTACCAAATTTTGACCTACGTAATAGACCTGGTATAATACCTAGTGGATCTACTATGAAGGAGGGTCTTTTATACGGCGATTTACGGTACTACTACTTCACGATTGGACCTCCTTCTAGAAATTTCTTTTTCCAGTTTCGTATCTGCACTTGGACTTAATCACAAGGCTTCGCATTTGATTATAGCCTCTATTGAGTTACAGAAGCTAAAAATCCTAAGATTTTGCCTCCAGCCTGACTTGAACCATCAACCTAGTCTGTGGGGGTTTGGCAGCTTAACCACTAAGCTATAGAGCCCAAACCCTAGTATATATTTTTTAAAAATGCTATTATATAAATATAATATATATATTATATATAGATCTTTTTATGTTAATGCTAGCCAAAATAAGATCTATAAAATTTTTTAATATAATATATTAAGATATAGATATTTTAAATAATTTGTAATAGAAGGGTGTAACGACTTAGTGAAGTTGGTAAGTTGTCACACCTCCAAGGGCAGGACTAGAGTTCAAATCCCATTGGCGATGAAATTCGAATTTAAGGAATGTGTTATAGCAAACTGTGTGTAATTTGATGGATCATTGGATATGTAGCTTTGGTTGTATCAGCTTGTACTGGAAGAATGTGAAACTATAGTATAATGTAAGAGTTATACGAAACCCAAGTGAAGCGTTTGTGTAAATCCAAGGGCTGAAGTACACGAAATCCCACTTGGCAAGTCTCGAGTAGAGAGGTAGCACAGATCTTTGACAGCGCTACATAAAGAATTATTACCAAAGATCTGGAAACTGGACAGGACCGAGGTGTTCGGCAAGACATCATGCCAACCAGGCCGTCAGTGTATTCTAAAGAAGGGGTCCACCCTTCCGGGCTATCTGGATTGGAAGTTTGGAGCTGGTAAAATAGTAGACAGTCCATAAAGTGAGTACTAGGGTTTGGGTGAACTCTACAAAGGCAGTAGTAGATAATGGTAGCAGCTTCAGCTCGCAAGTACTCATTCTCAGACTTGGCGTAAATTACCAAAAGTTTAGATTAGCCGGATTGTGGGTACAGAAAGCTCTAGCAATGATGCCTTAAGGATAAATTAGTCCTAAGGCTACGATATATATCCAGAACTCTTGACTGACGAATATAACAGAGTGTTCTGGTAATACAAGGGGGCAGTGTACATTACAGAGAGTTAAAATAGGTAATCCTCTAGTTGGGTTATAGGTATAGCAGCTAGTGTAGAACCTATGATGTACAGTTATCTATACGTGGACTACTTAAATAGACACTCAAAAGGCACACGTGTGGCTAGTTGTACTCTTTAATGTAATTAGGGTTCCGTTGTGAGCTCTCTACCCATGATACTTGAATAAAAACCCCTAAAACAAAGAGGTTAGTTAAAAAAAAAATAAATAAATAAATAATTTGTAATAAAATTATAACTTTTTAATTTTTTAATATACTTATTATATTTGATATTTAATCTAAAAAAGTTTTTAAAAACAAGAAAAAAAGCTTAAATATATTAAAGATAAAAGAATAAAAAATATTTAAAAAATATTTTCTAATTGAATACAAACTCTTTCTGACGATCCTCTAGTTAACAATTTTAAAAAACCCGAACTACAGTCAGCATTATAGAAGACATCAAAGGGTGATAATATATTTGGTTCTACACAAGTCGGTGTATTGTCAATAAAGTATCAAAAGTATAAAACCAAGGAGCAGACTACTTTGTATAGTTTTTATAGAGATCAAACTTCTTTGCTAGGTGGACTCCTCTATTATATTCAGCATCCAAACTAGAAGAATATTCTGGGAACACAGAATGATTAGGTCGACACTAAGTATATTAAAAAAACTGGAGATAATACCTATACAACTATAAAACTTACAAGGAAGAACCCACAAAGTTTCGTTGACCCACCACTTTTTTTGAGAAAATTTTATCAAAAAGTGGGCATCTTAGTTTACTTCCTCCAAAAGATTGATATATAAATCTCCAAAACAGTCAGGATTATTTACCTAATCTAAAATGGGTTGGCCTCCTAAAACGGGTTGTTTACTTTTAGTAAATACGAATCAATAGATATCTGGATTAAGCAACCAAATACATCCGAAGGACAACACATTAGACAATGTATCTCAACCAAAAAAAACTGTTTAAACAATACTTCGAGACTATTAGTGTTTTTTTTTAACTACTCTGTTTAGTCTAGTTTAAATCTACTATTTTTTCTTTTTTTTCTAGAGTAAATTAGATATATTATTAGGATAGAGTTAAATACAGAGCTTCTTTATCTTGTAATATATACTTTTTGTTGGCCCAACACAGGCTTATAATCATGATCATCAGATTTTTTTTCTTTTGTTCTTTTCCTTTCCCCTTTTTAGTATTAGTATTAGTGTTAATATTTTTTTCTTTTTTTCACTTCCCTACGAGAAGATGTCATCAGATTGGCGATATTCTATTGTAAGGCAGTAGTCTGATATGACTTTCTAGAATAGGTAGTCTTTGGATTTACTATGATATGTCTCTTATAGATTTATCTGCCTAGTGTAGCAGGTCGCTTGAAAGTGCTTTTAGAAGTAACTACGGAATGTCAGGCCTAAATTTTAAGCTTAAAGTATCTTGTTACATCTGTAACAAGACAATCTTAATAAAGGATCACTAGAAAGACTGCCAAAGTTGAAAAAAAAAAGTTGATCTTTAGTATAGGTAGATATATAA